TGAGTGCACAAAAATGTCAAAATTATATAAGTTAAAAACTTGTCAACCGAAAATGTCTTATATAATCGTTGAACCTTTGTGGTTGGCGATGTGCTTACATGCCAATGTGCATGATTGTCACACTTATGAACAGTAAGGCATATGCGCGTTCGTTTTAGTGAAAACGACATCAAACGAGGAGAATATTGTGCATAAAGTAAAAACTAATTGTATGAAACTACTAAAAGACGAAGTCACAAATAACTTTTCCAAGTAGTACAACTTAAACTTGCTTAGTAGTGTGTAAGACACGAAATCACCGATATCATTTCTAAGTGGTACAACTTAAATTTGCGTGTGGAATACCAGTTGTGAGCAATCTGGGTAGATGGCGTACTCATGTCTTTCGCTTGAGACTAATGGATGACGTAGGCTTTATTACGACGTCACTACCGAAGCAGGTACATAGATAGGTGATTCAGTGGTTTTAATATTTTTATTCAAGGAATTTGACTTAAAAAGAAAAAGTAGATGATTGTAGATGACGCCTGAAGTTTTGGGGTACGAAGTCATAATAGCATTGAGATCACTTTACTTAGTAAATAGCATCCATATGCAAAAAAACAAGAAATGTATCTAAACGGAAGAACGATTGATTTTTCAAAATTAGAATATACAAGTCATGAGGCTCGAGACGACAAAAACGTGCGACCGTCGGAGGGTACCTTCATCGGATAAATAAAACCATGATACTATAATCAGTAATATCAGGTAAGGTTCTGACTGTTAAAAACAAGAGCAGATTTAAATGTTTCCCTTAAGTTTTTTTTATTTGGGTACTGTGTAGATTTGCAAGAAGGCACAGCGAAATTTGCGAATATGCATTTCGTTTGTCGCTCCATGACGAAAACACGGGTTACTGGTTATTGATGGTTGTTTAAAATTTAGTTTGTTTTATAGTTTTTGTATTTACAATATATGCACGTATGTTAACGATCAATATATACACATGGCTGTGTTGAATTGAAACTGATGGATGATCCTTTGATGAGAATGAATGCACATCTGTAATCGACTTTATGCATGAACGAGACTAAATTGGTTTCGATGATTGTGGACACATTTAGATAGGGTATCATGTACACAAGGTTTTGATGTCTTAATGACTTATTTCCTATTGAGGATATGTGATTTTTATCTCATTACCACATTGTAGGTAGCATCTTGATAGCGACTATAACAGGTGACGAAACTCAGACTTGGGTTGTGTTTTTTTACGTTATAACCTACGTTGCGATTCGTACTCACCCTCGTACGAGTACAAGTTGTACTCATTTCTTGTACGCTACTCGTACTCAAGGCCCGTACGACTTTTTTTATTTTTTTTTTTACTATTTTTATTTTTTTTCTCCAATTTTAATAAGAATCTGCAGATGGTGCTCAGGCAAATGTTGCTTGTTTTGGGATATTAGATATTAAAAGGTACAATGGTAAAAACACATGTAGTCAACAAAAAACCATAGAACAGAAGTTCGAGACAAATCGTGAACTAAGTCAACGAAAAATCATAAAACAGAAGTTTGAGACAAATCGTGAACGAAGATAGTCATCTCTCAAATTAAAAGATAGAACGATTTAGCACACAATGCATGAGAATCGGCGTCCCCGACGCACGTTTCGGCAACAACCATGTTGCCTCCTCAGGGGGTTTCCTCAAACTTTCATCCCGAAGCTACTCCGTTACTCCACATTCCCACTTCCGTCACTATCACTAGGCGATATACCAGATACCGCATAGCTACAGTACCGTCAGTCCCATCGTAAAGGTCGACTATCCTGATCGTGTCCCTATTTATCACAGACAAACAGTGCCGAGAAAACAAGCAAGCAGCCAGAGTACCGGGTTTCCCTCTACCTTAAAAAACAAGGACCATCGTGGGTTACTCAGGCTGTCTGTAAACAACAAATCAAAACGAGTCAAGGGGCCTCAAAAAACAACCGGTAGCACCCATCGAGGCGCTCAGGCCCTCAAAAACAGAAGTCAAAAACACTACTACCAGAGGAAAAACAAATAACAGTGTCAACCAAAAACAGAAAAGAAAAGAAAAACGAAAACCCTGTCAGATGATCCAAAAAACCACCCGATCATCCTGCCATCTAACCTATTCAAAACAACACAGAATCGAACAACAAATTCAAGGAAACAAGAAATCCACAGTCCATTTTCAGACAGCGTCCTTGCCCACTGCAAACGCTCTGAGGATACGCTCGAAGATTCTCGAAGGGAATCCTTTGACTCTCAGCTCTCTCTTGACTGTCAGAACCCTTATCGGGATTTCGGAAAGAATGGTAGTATTATGGTGGATCCGATGAAGGTAACTACCGATAATGGCAGCCTTCTGCTGCTTACTCCCCCAAAAAGAATAGGATTGCCCATTCTTAAAAGTCAACTTTTCTTCAGACCAAACTGATTCCTCGTTTTTGACCAATTGAACACAACCTAGGTACGGTCGGGAGCTTTTGGTTCGAATCTCGCAACCAAGGAACGACAAAATACCATTCCCATCGTCGGTCCTCTTCAGAACCAAGTTCTGTGGGTAGCACTTCTCAAAGGCCCCAAGGATCTCCTTCCGCTGCTGATCAGATAACGCTGCAGTCATCAGAATGACGTCATCGATCAGTCTGATACCAAAAACTCTCTTCCGTAGAGTACCGAGGCTGTTCAGAAATTTGCATTCTACAAAAGCACAGAGTATACAGGCCAACGGAGGGCTCGTGCTTTTGCCCGTCGGTATCCCGATCACTTGTCTCAGCAAAACACCGGTAGCATACGTATAGGTATGCTTCAACTCAAAGCACACAAATTTAACCAAATCGTCAAAATCTAGTTGTCTCCAATGGTCAGAGTCAATGGTTTTACCAAAGGAAGCACCTCTGCCCCTCGAATTCACACGCACAAAAGACCTTCCTTTACTTCGGTGGTGATCCACAGTCCAAAAAACAGCATCAACGATCTCCTCGTGGGGGAGTCGGCTGAACATCTCCTTGATGTCATAGGAGGCCGACTCGATTTTCCCTTTCGTCCCATGGTCGATCTTCTTATTGATGCGCAGTAACCGATCTGCAAGATTCGAGACTGCTTGGAGGTTAAAGTGGCTGTCAACAGGCAATTGAAAAAGCAGATGGTTCAAACCCTTAGCCACCATTCGTCCAGTCTTCACCATCGGTTCTTTGAAAGTGGGACATATCGGTCGAAATCGGTTAGTATCTTTATGTTTCGCCAGAACATAAAATACTCCAAAACGACCATTACAATCCCAACGCGCAAACTTACTCAAACCTTCCTCACGCACATCAGTCTTCACACAAGCTAATACAACACTCTCGGATTCTTGCACAACCCGATAGCCTGGGCTTAGGACGAAAGATCCCATAATTGCCTTCTGGTATACAAAAGGACACATCACTAGCGTTTCACCGACGTTCCGATCGAGAGGGGTAAGTACAAACCCCTCAAACTTTTTTTTAACTGACATCACTTCGTCAAGAAAGATCTTGTCAGAAACATCCTCAGTTGGGACAAAACAACGATGAAAATTCAAGCCACTGAAATCAGGCATGGCTCCTTTCAGGTTATACCAATTCGAGAAGCCAGAGACAACTTCCTGTCGTAACAGCATAACACGGTTCGGAGCATCTGGTCGAGGAATATCATTAGCGTTTGCCATTTTCTGGTGTCGAAGATTACCATCACAAAGTCGGAAGCAAACATGACCATCCACTTTCAGATGGAATGATCCTGCACAAGCGCAGGTAGAAGTCTCACGAGCAGCAAAGGCTCGCTGATTGTGGAGAAAGTGTCCGATCGATGGGTTTTTAACCCAAACGATTCGAACCTTCTTCCGTGCCCGCTTCCAAAAATAGTCAGGTAGATCACAACCCATAATAGCATCGTTAACAAGCTTCCTCATTTCAACTACTCTAATTCGGTCATCATACTTCACACGAGTTACAAGATCATCAGACATACTAAAACCAAACTTGTCACGGATCACTCGAGATAACAAGCGTCTAAGGTACTTCCTCGTGGATTTTTTACTGAAGTCTTTAATTACGTTATACAGTTTCATCAAAGACTTCAGTCCCCAAACATAGAAATCAGATATACTCCTCCGGTTCCTCAAAATCCCATACAAGATAGCCTTCAAAAATCTAGCCTTCGGCTTCCACATGCGCAGATACTCGATCACGAAGGTACCACCCTTCTCAAACACATTTTTACAAGCGTGAAATAACAGAGTAGTTTTACCGTGCTTAACCGTGGAATCCCCAAATTTCTTACACAACTTCTTCTACCCGCCAACCCAAATATTACCTCCGCTGGTCGTGATGGTCAACCTTAGTTGACTACTTTCAAAACTCTCAGTAAGTGCATCAGTCAAATTCAGGACAGGTCGCTCGGCAGTACCAATGCGGAAAGATAATGGTCTAATCAGTCGTTCCCTCGTATCCTTGCCCTTACGTTCCTTCCTCCCTTTCCAGTTCTTCTTCCTCCCCTTACTGCTCTTAGCACATCCCGCACACTTCAAAAATGGTGACCACTGTTTGATATACAAATCTTCAAGATTCAGTAGATCATTGGCAGTCGTGTGATCAATCGAGACTAGCACATAATTCTCTAACCCAAAGGTACATAACCATCGGTGGAAGTGAGAGCGTTTCACGCTACCACATTTCGAACGGTGTTCGCGCCATCGTGTATCCACGTTGCGTGTGGTCTTTCCAACGTACTGATATTTACAAAAAGGAGAAACAGCGATGTATACAACATTAGATAGTGAAAGAAAGTTGATACCGTGTGTATCACACAGACATCGCCACGACTCAACAAGCTTACCATTCCATCTTATTTCCTTTCTGCAGCTCAGCACTACAACACACAACATGAGCAGTTCCTCGGCTTTATGGTCAATACTCTTCAAACGTCTCCTGTATTCCGTAACGTAGTCCACAATCCGCAAAATCTCGTATGATCCGTAAACACATCAAGCCTCTTGTTCGGTGACTTCATCATCAGCAGTTGTCGATTCTTCATCCGGTTAGTCCGCAACAATCGACAGATCGATTGGTTCGATGTCCCCAAAATGAACCCTGGTACGGTAACTCGCGATATCGAATATCGCGTCGACTGTGTCATTGTAAGCCACTCCTTCATCCTTGCAGATCCCCTGAAGTTCCAAAGCTCCGAGAGCTCGAAGGTCTTTCATCTGTTGGTTACGAAAGCGCAGCTTCTCGACAGTACTTGGTTGTCCTGGGGTCTTCTTAAGCTTCTCCACATATGGTGATAGCTTCGTCCTCACCTTCGCCTTTGACCTGGTAGCATGGTCAAGAGTACGCACCACCTTCTTCTTCGTATCAGTCCGACGTGGCGTGCGCTTGGCCGGAGTCGCAAAAAGCGGACTATCATCGAAAACTACCTCAGGTCCCCTTTTCCTCTTCTCATGGATAGTCAGGTTCTTAGTACGAGCTCGGATGTCCTCAGTAGCGCTTCCCCCACTATCATCATTCGAATCATCAGGTACTCGTACTGGTTGCTTCGCTGTCCGAGTCTTACGAACGAACTCCAAAACTGGTCTAAGGTTTGCCTCCATGCGATCGAAAAAGTCCCCAGTCTTAATCGCCAGTTGGATCTCCAACTTCTTGTCAATCTCAGCATCATGTTGCTCATCTTTCAACTTCTTCTCATTGCACGGGTTCCTGTGCCTTCCTCTCTGACTCCAATCGTCCCGCTTCCGCTTCAGCTTCTAAACGTAAACGCTCCTCCTCAGCTTTCCTTGCCTTCTCAGCCAAAACAAACTCCGAGACCGATGCAAGGCTCTTATTCAATTCCTTGATCTTGTGTCGCAATTCCTTAGATTCTTGTTTGGTGGCCATACTCGTCGCACCGAAGCCCTTCCTTGGGGATGCCGATCGACCACGGTTCACATCGTACAACGTCGACGGCTTCGCTTCCGGTGCATGCCAGCGATTAGGAGAATGATTAGCGTAATGACCAATTTCATTACAGCTAAAACAACGTGGAGGCGAGCGCCGGTGGTATTGATCATCCCTCCTGTCATCTCGTCGGTCAAATCCGTGGTGGCTGCCACGGTCTGCACTACTTGATCTTCGTCTTCCACCATCGTAGTCGCGCCGGTCTCCCATTGTCACAACAAACGACTTCACGGTATCACCAAGATGCTTGGCTATAACCCAGCTTCGAACAAAACAGTAAATGAGCCAGAAAGTAGGAGCAAAGGCAAGAAAAGACGAAGAGAATAGATGGTTTGGATAGAAATCACGCTCACTCAATCTCAGTAATTCTTCCCCAAGAGAGTTGACGTGTGCCGTAGTAGATATTAAAAGGTACCATGGTAAAAACACATGTAGTCAACGAAAAATCATAGAACAGAAGTTCGAGACAAATCGTGAACTAAGTCAACGAAAAATCATAAAACAGAAGTTCGAGACAAATCGTGAACGAAGATAGTCATCTCTCAAAGTAAAAGATAAAACGATTTAGCACACAATGAATGAGAATCAGCGTCCCCGACGCACGTTTCGGCAACAGCCATGTTGCCTCCTCAGGGGGTTTCCTCCAACTTCCATCCCGAAGCTACTCCGTTACTCCACTTTCCCACTTCCGTCACTATCACTAGGCGATATACCGGATACCGCATAGCTACAGTACAATCAGTCCCATCGTAAAGGTCGACTATCCTGATCGTGTTCCTATTTATCACAGACAAACAGTGCCGAAAAAACAAGCAAGCAACCAGAGTACCGGGTTTCCCTCTACCCTAAAAAACAAGGACCACCGTGGGTTACTCAGGCTGTCTGTAAACAACAAATCAAAACGAGTCTAGGGGCCTAAAAAAACAACCGATAGCACCCATCGACGCGCTCAGACCCTCAAAAACAGAAGTCAAAAACACTACTACCAGAGGAAAAACAAATAACAGTGTCAACCAAAAACAGAAAAGAAAAAAAAAACGAAAACCCTGTCAGATGATACATCACAAATATTTTTTTTGGATTTTTTGGATGATTTTTTTTTTTTTTTTTTTTTTTTTTTTTCCGTGCGGGTTGTACGGGGGCATACAGGTTCCCGTACAGATATTATCTGTATGTTTCATACGGAAATGCCCTGTACGTGTACGTTCGGTAACGTAGGTTATAACTAACCCAGTACATCACAGGTTCGATCTTTGGATTACAAGTTCACCCATCTTTTTAATGTGGGTGAAAAATCAAGGGACCAAATTTGGTACCTCCATGTCATTGAAACTTATTGGGGCCAGTAGACCCACACACACTTCGGATAATTAATGATTTTTAGGTATATTTTTTAGACTTAGGTACTTGAATGTGTTTATTTGCCTTGTTGGTAATAACTTTTGATTATGGTATGTATATATATTTTGAGTCAATAATAAAGAGGAGTATATGGGATATCAAATAGGGTACTGAATATGGTCCAACGACGTACTCAGTGGACCCCAGTATTATAGGGATAATTACATTGTTTACGATTGATAAAAACGTCAAGCATGCTAGTTACGAAACTCTAGTTGTTCAGGTTACTGGAGTCTTTTACAACATAAAAGAGTATAAAAAATTATGCATACTTTAAAAATAAGTGGTGGAAACCCTATGAGAAAGATAACATGACAGTACTAGAAATGAGGCATCGAAAATGCTATCCATATTTTTATCATTATGTGAAATCGTGAACTTTAGTTTTTCTCAATCTAATTGACATTCAGTGATATTCGACTCAATCATGTGATTGCATGAAATGCTTTATGTGATGAGATCTACATGACATCTCGTAAGAGTGTGTCATATCTTATATATATATACTTATTTGCATTAGACTTCACTTATGATTGTTTTTTATTGAAGAAATTGAATGTATGATGAATACAAAACATTGGGGATTATACTTGAAGGAAAAAAAATATGATAATTTTTCTTATGTTTACTATCTATCCACTTTTTATTCATAAACTAATTAAGATTGTATATTTCAGAATGTTTTATTGGATTTATCGTATACTTATACTCACGGTAAAAAAAAAAAAAAACAATCTGAAAAAAAAATATTATGAGAAAAAATAAATTAAACAAGATTTGCGTGAGCATTACATCATAATTCCTTACCAAATTCAAAATAAAAATAAAATACAAAGAATAAATATTAATAATACAAATAAAATAAAATAAAAGAGGATTAAATTTAGTGATTGCGCGAGCATGTTTTCGACATCGCCATCTTTGGTGACTTTTTTTTTTTTTTGGTATAGTTAAATGCTTTGAAAATTTATAGATGTATACTTCGCATAATATAAAACCCACTAAAAAGTTTCAAAAAATAATAAAATTGTTTAGATCCCGAACTAAAGGGAAAACAAACATGGGCGGATACGTTTTTACACCGCCATCTTCGAAGATTTTTTATTTTTAGTTGGCTGAGCCAAATGACGTCAAAATTATTTGGCATATACCTTATATCATAAAAAACTCACAAAACAAATTCAAAAAAAAAACAAAAATATTTTTAGGCGCCGAAATAATTTTTGGCAGGGGCCAAACGATGTTGGGTTCGAACCTCGTACGAGACCTCGAACGCCCGTACGTACGGAGGTCGGTCCGTGGACCTCCGTACGTACGGGCTGGTGATCCTGCGTATACTATATATATCATATAAATGATAAAAACCACATAAATATATAATATTTATCAATAATAGAGCTAACATATCATTGGTTGAAGGGATGGGTGACTTTTATTCGATATGGAATCCTAAATGTAAGGGGTTGAAACTCAACTCATACTTAGAGCATCACCCTCGTTTTTTGATTAAATGAAATATGTGAAAATAAACTTATTGCATGACTTAAAATTTTTATATGAAATTGAACTTAATTTTTTTTTAATCTTATCATTAAGTCACTTTTAAACTTACTATTCATATTTTTTTTATCGGATTGAGAGCAGAAGGACTGCACAACTTCATTCTGTATTATTCACTTGTAACGCATACGAAAAGGGTTGCACTTTGTAAATAAAACTTCACTGTTACTTGTGAAGTTTGGTGCAAAGTTGGTAAGGGTGACACATTCAGATGGGTGGAGAAATGTATGACGGTATTGGTAATAAAAAACACTTGCATTTTTATATTTGTTATATAAAAAATTAGTAAATAAATGTTCAGTCGTCTAAAATGTCATATGACTTTATATACATGTCAACCCACCAAAAATTTATGAGAGAGCATAAAATAAAATAGGCGGATTTTTAAAAAAAATATTTCATTTGTATAATGTCATAATTGTTTTAACCAACTAACGTGAAACTGCCTTTAGAGATCAACGTTTGAAGTGATGATTCATGTGTTGGTCGTATTTATTCAAGTTGTGTGACTATGCTTACCTTATACTATATTGCAATCAAGCAATGTATTGTACTACTCTTTATATTTGGCATAGTATATAAAAGTTAAAATTGTGACAAGTGGATGTTTTTTTTTTTTTCCTAGGACCTTCCCTGATCCTTGCACACCTAGGCCGTCTGGGAAAATGAGGTGACCCGGGCGGCCCGACTGGTAGCCTAGAAAAAATTAAAAAAAAAAAAATATTATCAAGAAAAATAAATTAAACAAGATCTGTCTGAGCATTACATCATAATTTCTGACCAAATATGGAATAAAAATAAAATATGGAGAAAAAATACTAATAATAAAAAATAAAAAAGAGAATTAAATTTAGTGAGTGAGCGAGCACGTTTTCGACATCGCCATCTTTGATGATTTTTTATTTTTTTTGGCATAGCTTAATGCTCTGAAAATTTACAAATGTGTGCTTCACATAACAAAAAACTTACTATTTTTTTTTTTTTAATAATAAAATTGTTTAGATCCCGAACTAAAGTGAAAACAAAAAGTAAAAAGTGAAAAACAAGCATGGGCGAACGCGTTTTCACACCATTATCTTTGAAGATTTTTAATTCTTATTTGGCTCAGCCAAATGGCGTCAAAATTAATAGACATGTACCTCACATCATAGAGAACTCATCAAAATAAATTAAAAAAAAATAAAAAATTAAGACCTGAAATAATTTTTGGCGGGGGCTGAATGCTGTCGGGTTCGGCCCCCGTACGGGACCCTGAGCGCCCGTACGTACGGAGGTCGGCCTGGGGACCTCCATACGTACGGGCTGGTGACCCTATGTATATATATATATATGTGTGAAATAATAAAATTGTTTAGGCCTTGAAATAAAGTAAAAATAAAAATAAATAAAATATTTATTAATTTTTTTAGGAAGATTTTCATAACTGGTTGTGACGCTCGGGGTACCCGGACGTTCAAAAAAGAAGAAAAAAGGGGCTAAAGGGGTTTGTTGTCAAGTTTTTATTTTTTTTTTTCTTTATGCGCCCTCCCATAGTATGACCCTAAATCCAGACTGTTTTCATATTTGGTGTGTTGGCTATCAAGGGGGGGGAAGGGGGGGTAAAACCGGGTGCCTTAGTGTGATTTTTTTTTTTTTTTTTTAATCTGCGATTCGGTGAGTAATTTTGATGTGACCCTCAACCAAAAATTATTTTTATTGCAATTCTACACAATTTTTTTTTTTTTATTATATTTTTTTACTTTTTTTNTTTTTTTTTTTTTTTTTTTTTTTTTTTTTTTTTTTTTTTTTTTTTTTTTTTTGCGCCGGGCTGCCCGAACCCCTGCTTGGGGGTCATCCCGACCGGGCACCCGAACATGTATCCAGGCACAAGTTGGGTGCTCAGGCGCCCGAAAAAAGAAGCTAGTTTTTTTTGTCTAGTCAAATGCTTTGAAAAATTATAGATGTGTATCTCAAATGATTAAAAATTAATTGTAAAAAAATAAAAAATAATAAAATTATTTTGACCATTTTTTGCGTACATACCATGTTTTCAAAGCTTAACTCCCGTATTTCCTTATACGCTATAATGTAAATGACAAATTGTTTCAAACCCACTAAAACGACGTATTGTTATCAATAAATCTTAAATATATTATGTATCGTCTTCCCTTAAATGTATTATAGTTAAGTGCTATAAATTAATCAAACATATAAAATGATTGTTTATTCCTTTGAACTTTATATGCGTTTTATTAGAGTTTACCACAACTACTCCATGTCGACAAGTGAGGGATAGAGTAGGTCAATTTGTTTTGTTGGAATCTAAAGTTTCCCCTATATATTATGACTGAGTGTTTTATCTTATGCACGTTCAGTATGAACCTTGTAGTGGCAAAAAGTGAAGCACTAATAGTTGTAAGGAAACTAATGACAAAATTGGAGTCGTGTGCACTGGGTTCGTGGTGCAAATTTGCAGTGGTGGTTACAAATATCACAATCACACCTCGCAATAGTTTGCCGAGTCGAGGCGTAGTAGGGAATTGGGGTAGGACGAGGATTGAGGGAACAAGGGCTCTGGCATCACAGTTGAAACGGGGTGTAGAGCCCCGCCGCAGCACTCACCAAATGTGCAAATTGAGAATGAAGTTCTCCCTATAACAGAGATAGATACACCGCCATAACTTTTGTTTTTTGTGCATTTGGTGAGTGGTGAGGAGCTGTAGTTAGTTCCTGAGACAACGAGTTAGGGCCTTGCCACAACCACTCTTGAAACGGCGAAGTGTTTCCAGAGCTGTCAAACCTTTTTCAAGAGTTTTAGGCCCCTGGTCACACAACACTCTTGAAAGGGCTATGCTGCTGGGCAAAGGATGCAAGAAGACAATCTTACAACTTTGTTTTCTTTCTAGTGGGGTCAGGATAATGGCCTGAGATCTCTTGAAAATCAATAGTCCGTCAAGGGGTCGGCCAAGGGCGCTTGAAAACGCAGAGAGTTGCAGGTTGGGGTTTCAGGCCTTTCAAGAGAAGGTTTCAAGAGCCACTCTGAGAGCTCTTGAGGGAGACCCAACTTTCAAGAGGCTGTGTGGCCACGCAGGAAGGTCCCACTTGCACGAATTATGAGATACTGACCGTAGATAGCAAAGATCAACGGCCGAAATCTCCTAATTTGCGCAAGTGGGACCTTGGCCCTTGAAAAAGAGTTTTCAAGAGTGGTGTGGCGAGGCCCTTAGCGACAACGAATTGTTTTATTCAAATTTATTGAATTGAAATTTATTCTCAATGTCGACGACGCGGACATAAAAAAACGCCCAAGGCCGCCAGTTCGCTGAGGAACTCGTCGATATCGATGGTCTTTGTAGATCACCATACGCAACGCATTTCATACCATCCCGCCTTTTTTAACGGATGTTGTTGGCCACTGATTTCCTTTCCCGCCACATGTAGACGTTCGAAGGGGCGACGGTCTTTTGATATTATCATTGAGCTGACCAACCCCAAGCAATTTATTAGTTGGTTGCAATTGTCAAGTTTCCATCATCTGGATTCGAACACAGGTCTGTATTTCAGCAGTTCATGGGTGTACCCACTGAGCTAGGCTCTTGGGTGTTCGCTTCCTTTTGACACACCTGCTGACCGCCAATTCCGTAATTTCCCGCGCTTTCTCGTCTCGTCAATCTTGACAGCTTCCCACTTCCAGCCGCTTCTCGCCGATGTACTTTCCTCCTCTACCCTCTGTCGGGCGTGATGACAACTTCCCGTCTTCGCGCTTCCCGCGCTTCCTGTGGGTGTTGACGACTTCCCGCGCCCCTTGTAGCGTTGACAAACTTCCCGCTCTTCCCGCGCTTCCCGTGCTTCCTGTGAGGTTGACAAGTTCCCACGCTTGCTGTGAGGTTGGCAAGTTCCCACGCTTGCTGTGAGGTTGGCAAGTTCCCGCGCTTCCTGTGAGGTTGACGAGTTCCCGCGCTTCTCATGGTATCCGAATGCCGGTCGCATACCTGTCGACTGTAAAACTGGAGGCTGTCTGGATGCTTCTGTCCGGGAATAACGCGTCACTCCAAATGAGCAGAAAGTGCTGCTACCGCCAAATGAGCAAATGAGCAAATGAGCATGCCCTAAGCAATCCCGTCCAGACTCTGCTTCAGAAAGTTCAGACGTACTGAGATGTACTGAGATGTTGGCTCTCTGAGCATCTATCATGTTCCTCGTCAGATTCCGGTTGACATGATCTGAGCAAACAAGATCAACAGTATGCCGGCCGGTTGTCCACACGGCTCTCGTTGTTGCTAGGCCCCACCGCGCGCGCGCGAGAGAGAGAGAGAAAGAAAGAGAGAGACACA